CACCACGATCCCCTGCAAGTTGCCCATGTCCAGGCTCCGCAGCATCGCCTTGGTCTCGGCGTCCACCTCAATCACGTCGGTGTCGACCGCAGACACCTCGGGCACAAAGTCCATGCGCCGCTCCCGCTCCTCCTCCTGCAGCTTCAGCGAGATGCCGCGCACCGGTCCTCGCTGGATACGCTTCATCAGGTGCTGCGAGGGGTAAGAGGGGGGGGACATGAGCGCGACGACTCGCTCAGAGTCGGGCAAAATGGCGCCAGAACGCAGAGAGGGGGAGGGCTCCGGTGGTCTCGCAGCGTGTGCGGAGCGCACCGTCGCATAGCCGGCAATCTTATTCTTCAGCCCCTTGGAGGGGATGATGGCAACCTCCTCGCACACGCGCTTGTTGGTCTGGAAGTCGAGCGTCAGGCGCGCGTAGTACCTGCGCAGGGCGGCAGCAGCGGCAGGCGCTCGGTGAGGGCTCTCCAAGCAGCCCGAAAGCGCGCTGCGGGGTGAGCGCACTTCTCGATGATGACCCGCGCGGCCTTCTTGACAGTCTTGGTACGCACGCCCCTGCACCGGCGCGGGAGCGGCGCTCAGAGAGCAAGGCTGCGGCCGAGAGGCGCGGCGGCCGCCGACGCCGCCCGCGCGGCCCGAGAAAAGGGGGGCAGGAGGGTGCGACAGCGAAGGGACGCGTGCGGCGACAGCTCCCCGCCCAGCAGGAGCGTGGCGGTGCGTCTCGCGAGCGCGCGCGCGGGCGCAGCGCACATCCTCACGCGCAGCCGCCTCAGCCTCGAGTCCACGTTGGTTCACAGCTTTGCAGTGTGAACGCTGTGAACAGAGTCCCGGCGTGAGATTGTTCTTCAGACTTCACCTTCCTACCTACCTGAGATTGCAAGCGACGGAGACGTTCTGTCTGCTTCATTCTATCTAGCCAGACCAAGAAGTACGTGCTCCAGGTGAGGGTTGAGAGAGATTTTTAGATTAGGTGCCCTGTAGGCTTGGCTGCAAAGGGGATTTTTGTTGTGCCGACTTCGATCTTCGTGTGTGCTCCGCTTCTGAGAGAGAGATTTTGAGACATGAGAGAGAGAGAGACAGAGACAGAGAGAGAGAGAGAGAGAGAGAGAGAGAGAGAGAGAGAGAGAGCCGAGATAGAAAGAGAGAGATTTTGAGTGAGACGGTTTAGAGAGAGAGAGAGAGAGAGAGAGAGAGAGAGAGAGAGAGAGAGAGAGAGAGAGAGAGAGAGGGAGGGAGGGAGGGAGTACATTTCTTTCTAATTTTATTTCGCCTCGACCGCTCGAGCTGTGCTTAAAAATGGTTAAAAGTTAAATCTCTCTATACAACCTCCAATCCCCGTCCTTGCTTGCGTCCCCCCATGCCGGTGTGTCCAGTCGCTGGCCAGCCTCTTCTAAACCAACACTCCCGTTTCCCAAGAAAAGAAAAGTCCAAGCCTTCCTCGATTTCCGCGAGCGGCGTCTCACAAAAAGCCTAGCCGTCCCGGCGCAAGAAAAGCCTTGCCGCCGAGCTGTCATTCCTTCTGCAGGCCGCGTGCAGCGACGCGCGAGTCCTGGCGGCGCAGCCGCCCCGCCGTGCGGACCATGGCCAACCAGCCCGTCGACGCGCCCGACGACGTGACCTCACCCGGTAAGTGTCAGAGAGCGCCCCCCGGCCAAAAGTCGACGATCCTCGCTCGCCCCCTCTCCCCTTCCGGCGACGCGGCCCCTCCCCCGACATGTGGCCCCCCCTCTGTCAATCCCCGACGCTGTATGGACTTGAACTGCTCCCCCTTCCCACGCCGCCCCCGTGGGCCGGGTGCCCCCTACCGGTTGGGCCCGCTCTC